ATCCAACCACTCAAACAACTACCCTTTCACTCTAATGGTTGAAGCGGCTTATCTGCACCCCTGGACTTACCTGGTGTGCCCTGGCCTGGGAACAACTCTCGAGACTGGCACCAGAGGTTGCTTCCACCATACACCCAATGGCATGGTTAGACGATGTCTTCTGGGCACTTCCCAAACCCCCCACCCGGCCACAACCACACTCAGATCGGGCGGCAGCTTGCAAGGATCAAAGGAAAGACGGATTTTGGATCGATCTAATACAGGACTGGAGGAGGTTCCCGCTTCCGGATAGACCGTTCCCTGAATGCTGGGAGGAAGTTCTGCGCCAACCCCTATTTGGAAACAGATGGGTAACAGATCAATAGGGGCGGGTTTTTCTCAGCTCCAACCGTTTGTGGAAGGGATGGGTAAGAAATGGGGTCATGAAGGTAGGGGATCTCTGGGACCAAACCAGGGTTAACTAGGTCACAGAGGAACAACTGAGAACAAAGCTCCCCCACTGCCAGAGAATAGGCGAGAGGCTAGACCAGATCCTCTTCGCTCTCCCTCTTGCATGGCTGAGAACCCTTCGGCGAGGACCAACGGTGGAGGAGGGTGACTGGGTTGTATTAAGAGGGGATGCAACGCGTGTGGGACAAGTAATTATAGGCAGACCAGGGGAAGTGATGGTAAACTTTTTCTATCGAACACAGCAGAATGGACTGATCAGGGGAGGGTCGGATGAAGTCTTCTGGATTGACGTTGGAAAACTCCATAGAGTGAGGATCCTACGAGATGGGGACTTCTGGGTGGCATTCAGACCGGAGGTGCCAATCCAGGACCTCCCCATAGATGCTGTCGAGTGGAGATGGAAGATTCCCACGAGGAACGACATACCAAAATATCGATATCTCCACTCACTAGGGGTTAAGGCCTCCTATCGGATGCTTAGGACCAGAATCAACCTGAAAGACCGTATAGTGGATCGTTCGGCAAGACATTTAAATGTCTCATTGAGTTCATTGACACCCATCAAATGGTTTAAAGGGATAAAAGCCAAACCAGCCAAAACTGCGTGTGACCCTCCCCTGGTGTCTGGCCTGCAAAGAAGGTTTTCCCTCTAGAAAAGTTAATGAGACAATAAAACACATTTTTTTGCAATGCCCTGCCTCAATCCTCATTCGACGTGGTGGGCTCGGATTTGCTCGGATTTGGGACCAGCTTGGCACAGATAGAGATTGGCCGTGGGAATGGAGAGCCTTACTAACCGGGCATTGGACCGCTCAAACCTCGACCTTTACGGCCAACTTGTTTAAGGTCGGAAGGGACGCGGTCCTATGGGCCATATGGCGTCGCAGATGCATTCTAGCACTTGAAGACGCCCATGTGGAAAGCGGCGAGATGATGGATATGATGAAAGACATGACAGAAACAAAAATCAGAGCCCAGTGGCCCCCTTCATGAGGGGGCGGGGGGCGTGTCATGATGCGCAAGGGGGCGGGGGCCGTGTCATGATGAACTAGGGTAGAGGGAGGACCGACAGTCTGCCCCAGTCGCCCCCTGGAAGCAGATCCCACCCCCCGCCCCCTTGCGCATCAGGCCGGTCCAATAATGACACGGCCGGAGCTTGGTACCCTAGCATGCAAAGGGAATAATAGACCTCCTGCTCAGTCAGTCCCCTGAAGAGCTCAGGGTAATCAATGCTGGCAGGCGAGTCCATAATCTCGATGGAAAATGAAAAAAGAATACATTAGACGGGCCTGCGCAGTCAGTCCCCTGGGACACAGGGTAATCAATGCTGGCAGGACTTATAATCAAGATCTGCATACAGTCGGTTCCCAGCAAAAAAAGGCTTCTCAGGCAATCCCCTGCGGTGCAGGGCAATCTATGCTGGCAGACCTCACAGTCACTGTTCTCATTGTCCTCAGGCATTCTCAATTTTTGTATATGGGTAGGTGCAGAGGTCACTTCTTAAGGCTGCTCAGTCAATCCCCTGAGGTGCAGGGCAATCAATGCTGCCAGACCTCACAGTCACTACTCTCATTGTTCTCAGATATTCTCAATTTCTGTATATGGGATGTTGGACCCGTTTTTCCAGCAGGTGATGCTCCCCACCAATAGATGGAGCCTCCCTCCTGGTGTTAGGGGTGTCTGCTCTTATCAGCAGCACTAACACTGGCGAGGGCGTGTTTTTGAAAAAAAAAAAAAAAAAAAAAGCATGCAGTCAGTCATCACATCAAACATGCAATCCAAACATCCCATGTCACTCACAATAGAGACGCAAACGAGTATTGAGTTGTCAAGAAACACAATTTTACAAATGTCAAAGGTCCGAACATGGATAATGGTCATCCAAAAACGACAAGTGGAAGGTGAGGACAAAAAAAAAGAGTAAAAACGTACCACATCTCATCCTATGACTATGGCACATGTCAAAATTTTTTTTTTTTAAATCCCGATGTCAACAACTACATCTGTCTCTATTCCTCTCTACTATCTAAAAACCATCCACAAAAAAATATAGTAAACTGGGTACTAAACCCTATCTACCTGCAACTCGATGTCTGCGTAACCAATGCATGCGAATGATATGCAACATCCTAAGTCGATGAAGGAAAACCGCTACACAACAAATACTGAATAAAACAAAATCATGAATAGACACACAACTAATCCTCGTCGTCGTCAACGACATCCGCCCTCGTCCTCGTCTGGGCAGCAACTACGCCATCGTCTACCCTGCTGGTCTGGCCAGACGCTGCATGAGCGGCCTCCTGTGCCCATACAGCTCTCTCTCTCTCTCTCTCTCTCTCTCCCTCTCTCTCTCTCTTTCTCTCTGTCTCTTGTCCACGTCGTCCCTGACCATGTCTCTTAGCAAAATGTGGTGGATATCGTGCCTCCGACGCCTTCCCACAGGCATCTCCAAAACGTCAGTCCCTAAAGAATACGGGTCCGGTGCATGTGCAGCAGGCCATGGTGTCCTGTCTCTCTATGTGTCCAAAAAGGGATTCAACGGGGGTTTCTCATTGAACGGACCAACGGCCGTTGAAACCCCGATCTAACGCCGCGGTTTACCCACGTTTTGTAACGTGGAACAACGCGGCCCGCGAAATTTTTTTGCGCGCGCAAAAAAAGAAAAACAAAGTACGGGGGTGTAGATTTTTTTGGGCTCTACATCCCTTTTTCTTTTTTTCTTTTTTTGAGCATTCGAATTATTTAAAAAAAATCAAAAACCTTACCCAACTCAAAACACATCAATTTTTTTGTCTTTTTTGATTGATTGACTGATTGATTGGTGGGGGATGGGTC